GTCTTGCGATATCTCGATCTCGCACATCCGTCATAAGATTTTTTTTAAAATAAACCATGCAACACCATAAAATTCCTGGATTATAATCACTAATAGGTTAGAACATTCAATAATATGCATTCTTAGTTAAAACAAGAATCACTCTCATAAATTTCGATGATGGTAAATATAATTAAAAATAATTTATTAGCTCCATCAATAATCATAGACATCATTAAAGTACTATGACATTTGCTCAATAGATGTGTAGTATCAATACCAAAACCAGACCATATATAACTCTTAAATAAAATTATTCTATGAATTTTTGACTCCCTTGCAAATGAAATTACAATTGCTCAAAGCCACCATGATCTTTATTAAGTACAATCCCTCATGCAAAATAAACATTTTTATAAAATACAATAACTCTAAATCTTTTTTGAATATCTATGATAATTATCTTAGAATATAATCATCATTTACTAAAACTTGTTCTTTAATTTTCTCCGTGATAAAAGAATTGTTGCATCCATTGTGACCACTTTATAATCTTAGCAAATTACATGAGTGCATTTTAGAAAACTTCATAATTTTGAAACAATCGGTTCCACGACAAGCATCATCCAATTAAAATCGGAAACTATATAGTAGACTTTTACCTTGTATCTTTTACTTATAATATGTTCGATCTCAAAGTTTCTACGAGTAACATACTCTTTTAATGTTTTTCGAAATTTATCTTTGTCTCCAAATGCCTATATAGAGTTAAAATTAAATTAGATAATATTATGTAAACTAATATCATTAATACACATAAATGTCACATATATCCGACCAAAGAAAATATCATAAGAGATAAATTCATTGTCTTAACAACAGTATTTAATAACATCAAATGAGGTATAAATATTTGGGTTTACGTCACCTTCAACCTCTTTTCTAGTTTCATTTGTAAGTAAATACATCACTATCATCATCTTCGTTATAATAAAATGAGTTATTCAAGTTTAGACTTTGTGAGCTATCAAACATTTCACTTTCATGTAGCCTTATATCTCACCTAATATAAGATTTTTGACTATTAATATAATAAAAAATTAAAAATACAATGTTATTATTAGAACATAGTACTAAATGTCAGAATTCAACTAACTTAGCACATCAAATAGTTTTAATATAATAGTATAATAATAATAATAGTAAAATAATAATAATAATAATAATAGTATAATAGCAATAAAATAGTAAAATCAGGCCAAAGGAACCCTAAATATTTGTCATGCTACTATATATTCATCAAACCCTACTAAACTCATCAAATATATAGCTAAACTTCAATAGCAGGCCAAAGGAAGGATAAGGAAGTCTATGGAGAAGAGATTGAATAAGAGCGAAAGATGTGTTATTTTCAGCTCAAACTAAATCACAGCAACCACTAAAAGTAAGCTATATTATATTATATTATATATATTCATGAAAAGGATAAGCATCAACCCAAAATAAGCCACCTATGAACCAATCTCTAAACTACACCAAACCATATGAATCGGTGGCAATATAGCCTAAAAAATATGACTAGTAAGCACAAAGGTAAAAATCATAAATTGGGATAAAATTGGCTCTCTACGGGAATGGATAAATAAATAGGGAACCAACCACTCTATGCAAAATACTAACTTCATTTATCAACTAGAATGTATGTATGTTCTTAAGCTAATATTTATTATCTTTATTGATGTTGCAACCCAAGGGTGAAAATATCATGCTCCTTTTTAAAGATTTTGAGTTGAAATTTTTATGGAGGTGGTTTCAGAATCACTTAACCTAATTGATTCTGTAGTTTCAGCGCACCTTCTATTACTCAAATTTATCTTAAATTTATTTATGTAAATTCTCTCCAAAGTTTAATTTGATCGGACGAAATTGATTGGACCTATTTCGTACTTTTTTTAAAAACTATTGTTGTGCCTAAAAGAGAGAAATAATATTTTTGAATGCATACTCATGTCCATTATCCTACTTTCTTTCTTTAGTTCGAGGATAAAAGATGCTCGTGATCATTTTTAAAGTGTTTATTTAATTTATTTTTAATAAAAATATATATGAGAAGATTATTTTTTATAAATTTATTCTTGCAACCATAGATTCATATTGATGTAGTATGTCCAATAGACTCTTCCTTATTTGTTGAGTGTTGATTGATCGAAAATAATGATTATATCACTAAACTAAAATTTTTTTTATCGGATGCTAAACTTATAATAGTTGAAACCATAATTATTAAACCATGAAAAATTAGGAATTGGATAATTTTTTTTTGTATGAATATTAACCATAAAATAAGACTAACATGTTACTTTTAATCTTTTATGAAAAACAAATATATTTTTTTCACCATAATTTCTTCTCCTTAATTGAGGAGGGGAGGCATTTTGATCCACATTCGTTCTTCTTAGTACTTGTTCATACACCTCGTTTCATCTTTCTCTTGCACCAATGATCACATTCAGGTTGTTGTTTCTTTTCTTGTTCAAAGGGTAAATAGTAAAGATGGATGGTTATGAGTAGCAATCCAAGAACCAAGTGTCCTTGTCCTCCTTCGCCATCCTTCCTTCATTTTATATATGCCTTGCACGCAAGACATCTACTGCTCGTCCCGACTCCTGCAGTGGTGCTTGCACGCGTCAAAATGGCGAATGATTCAGCCACAGTGCTGACGATGATCCATGTCGACACAGCTCTCATGGGACCGGACGTCACGCCATGGACTTTCCTGTGTTCTCCGTGCTTCACGTGGGGGAATCCCACGCCCGGCGTCTCCGACGGGGGCCCCGATGTCCCCAGCCGCGGGGTTCAGCACCAAAAGGGCGCAAGCAAGGAGGGAAGAAATCAAGACGAAGGTTCACACTGAGTCAACCCAAGTCAACAAACCCGCGATGCAACTCCGCACCGTCCGATGTGCTTTACGAACCGGCTTCTTGTGAACTACCCGAGAACCGATACCCTCTTCCTCGTCCTTTGCATTACGTCAAACACAAAATGAGGGCGTCCAAGTCAACAGAAGGTGTTTGCAGCGTCGGTCGGCATCCTCCGTATCGATCATGTGTGAAGTGTGTTAACTATGGGAGAAGGAACGAACACTCCTGCGTCGATTACATCCGCCTACGCAACTGCACTTTCATAGGAAGATAAGGAGAAGAAAAGATTGTTCCTTATCTTACGTGAAGAACATGTCCCTCGTCCTCCACCTCAAGCCCTCCCATTTCACGTAAGAAAGATGCGACATAGACGATCCTCGTTCGATGCATCAAATGTTGGATTACAAGAGACGCAACAAGTGGAACGCGGGCCTGTGACCGCCGGGGTAGCAGGAAGAACATTGACCTGCACCTGAGAGTCTTGGTCTCGCTTTCAACAGCCCGGAATGAACTGTTGTTGACTGGCATCAATGTGTTTTGCTAAATAGTGGCCGGTGTTCGAGACTTGGTTCTTTACCAGCTCATGAAGGGATGACTTTTCGACGAGTATTGACTCGCAGAAAGCGAAGTGAGTACATGAATACCATGACAGAGAATAATTCTTGGAACAAAGAACAAGTGGCAAGTCTTTTTGACTTTACCTTTGCCTTATTCTTGTGGGAGACTTGGAAAGCTAATCTTCTTTTTCTTCTTGTCAAACATACTTTCATACTGATTTCTGCAGCTAAATTAATGGAGGATGGATTGCTAAGAATCTTGAGATTCACGCTGATTTCTGCACCCGCTGGGAAATGGATGGACATTAATCTTTTGCGAGTTCTAAGTAGTTTCAGATGCCCATAATTTTCTGAGGGTACAGATGCCATCTGTTTCATCTCAACAAAGGACATCTCCATGTTTGAAAATAGAATGGAACATATCATATCATGTCATGTCACTGTAGAATATTTAGGGCGTTATTGTTGACGACTGCATCATCAAATCAAATCTACATGTATCCTCTCTCTCTCTCTCTCTCTCTTAAGAAAAAAAAAGGAAAAAGAAAGAAAACTGCAACTAATGGCCTCCATCATTGACACCAGTGGCCACAATATGTGGTACTCTTCTATCCCCATACACACATATACACATGCATGTAGTATGATTAAGTGAGTTATATTGAAACGATTCAGAGGGTTATGAAAGAAGCCAGGAAGGATGAAAGTTACAGGTAAGAAAGAGAGAAACCACAGAAGGCACCTTTAAGAATAATGTAGCGAAAGGAACCATTGGGGTATTCTATCAAGCAGATGAAAAGCTTAATTTGTTTTGTTCTAGGAAAGGGCTTAATGCGTATGGAATCAAAGGCCAAAATGCTGGAATTGCATATTTCTCAGTGTCTTTATGTTTTTATTTCCCTTTAATGTTTACTAAAGCATATTAAAAAAAGATGAAACCAAGACTTCAAAACTTCCGTTGGCTCAAATAGGTGCCCATCAATGGAGTCACACGTCTCTTCTATCTATTGGCTCAAAGGAATTACAAGTCTCTTTTATCTACAACAGTTGGCATTGATACTGACTCTACTGATAGGACACAGGGTGTTGTCCGAGCACCAAAGACGTCGGCCCCGATTTTGGGGGCATCATGCAACCATCACATCTTCAATTTCTGATGTGAATTCGTGGTCCAATAAATTGCGCCAGTACATCATGTCCCATTCTCCAGCATCACGGATGACTCCCATGCCCACTCAAGATCCAGATCCGATATATGGATCCGAAATAAACATACCCGATAAGCATGCGGAATACGAGACCAAAGAGATCGGGTGCGGCGAAGGTTCGCGAGAGTACTTCCGGGTGTGAGCACCAGAGGGTGCGGGACCCACGTGTGGGGACACGTGGGTCTCACGCGGATGGGTGGACCTCCTTCGTCTATCAGTTTCTCCTTCGCGGAAGCGCACGCGCAACACCCCGCTTTGCTCGAAGCGTTCGTTACTTCCTCCTCGGCCTCTCTCTCTCTCTCTCTCTCTCTCTCTATCTATCTATCTATCTATAAATAGTAGCTCCCTGTGGTCTTCTTCTGCCCCTCCCACCACCGAACAGCAGCAATGGACGACATGGAGGCCGAGTACAGCCACTACTGGGAAACCAAGAGGTTCATCGACGCGGAGGAGTTCGAGAGGTCCTTCTTCACTGCCCACCTTCCTCCTCCCTCTCCTTTGTTCCCCACCTTGAGCTATCTCTGAACTGCTTCCTTGTGCATTATACCCCCCTCTGTTCCGCTCTCCTGTTTCTTATCTCTTCAACTATGCAAGCAAAACTAACCAATCATTTAAGGGAAATTGATTGCTTCATGAAAGTGATCTTGTCTGTCTGCTGATTGCTAGTTTCAGCACAAGAGAGAGAGAGAGAGAGAGAGAGAGAGAGAGATATCCATAACAAACGACATCAACTCTGCATCTTTGATGTCAGTGATGCCTCTTGCCCTTTCCCACTCGTGGCTTCCCAGGAAAAAGGACCACGGTGTTGAGGTTCCACCTGAATTGGAGAAGTGGTTGTTGGTCAACAGCTTGAGATTCTTTCTTTTTATTTCCCTTCCTTTAGGAAATCCACTTGACTTCTCTTTCTTCTGAGAAAATTCCTCCTTTTCGGTGTTTAATTCATGAATGAATCATCTAATCTTGGCAAGGTTCTCTTTGTTCACAGCTGGGGGTTTGAGGAGGCCATATCAGGTGGCTACTACGATTCCAGCTCCCCTGAAGGCACCACATCCTCGGCCACCGTGAAGAACATTGCTATGGAGAGGAATCGCAGGAAGAAACTCAACGAAAAGCTTTACGCGCTCCGGAGTGTCGTCCCCAACATCACCAAGGTAGGCAACTACTCCAAAAGAACGACAAAAGGACGCTGGAGCTCTGTGGTCTATTGGAATTTGACTACGGTTCTCACTGCAACTCATTTCATTGTGATCTGTGGATTCAGATGGATAAGGCGTCGATCATAAAAGACGCGATCGATTACATTCAGCAGCTTCAAGAGCAAGAGAGGAAGATGATGGCAGAGATGTCCGAGCTTGAGCCGCTCAGAGAGGAAAAGATGTCGATGGGTGACTTCGAGTATGATGTTGTACCCTTCATGCAGCAGAGAAAGAAGAAGAGAACTCCAAGGAGCTCGTCGGCTCCGGGTTCCCCGACCTCCCTTCCCATCGAAGTACTGGAAGTAAGCTCCCTCTCTCTCTCTCTCTCTCTCATGTTGAGGTCAAACCATGGTTAGTCTTGTCGATGGAATTTGATTGTTTCGGGTGGTGTGGCACGCAGCTCAGAGTGAATGAAATGGGCGAGAAAACGATGGTTGTGAGCATCACCTGCAACAAAAAGAGAGACACCATGATCAAGGTGTGCGAGCTTTTTGAGTTTCTCAACCTCAAAGTGATCACAGCCAACATCACCAGTGTCTCCGAAAACCTGTTGCACACTCTGTTCGTCGAGGTACTCTCTCTGTCTATTTTTCCACTGTGTTGTGTGTGATAGTGCCTGTCATGCTATATATACATACATGTACGTGTATATGTGTATATAAGTACGTACATACATGTTCGTACATTATAAGTTGGCCAGTCATGGATCCATCCAAAACAGTAAGGCATCGCCATCTCATATGTCATCTGAGTTTGGTGCCCTTTCAGCATGCGAGAGGCTCACCTTTGATCATTGGGTGTGTTGAATCTTACAGCCCACGTTATCAACATGGAGAATTGCAGTGACAGGGGAGTCAAAGTTGACTTTTGCATGGCAGCTGAATCTTCCCACCATGTTTAGCTCATTTATCACATGACTCTTCCTCTCTGATCTCTTCTTTCTTTTATTCTGCACACACAACATGTGGTCTGAAACCGTGTTGTTCCACATGCGCTATCTATCTCTTGTGTGATTTCTCCTTTTATTTTTTGTTTTAGTTCGTTGTTGCTCCTACATCAACAGTAGAACAGATGTGGCTGTCACCATAAGGAGCATAAATTCCACTACAAAAAGAAGAAAAAGATGACTTGCTTCCACACCAAGGCCTTTCACATGGTTGAAAAGGATCTGCTTGGCACATTTAAATCCTTGAACAAGTGGATGATTTCTTGTCTTTGTCGTTAGAACAAGTGGACAGCATGACATGTGGATGGAGAAGTTGGAATCTTGTTTCACCACTCTCAGCAATTAAACATGAGCAATGAATGAATCAATCAGTTTCATCCAAAGAAAAAGAAGTCAGCTTGCTGAACTAATGAGCTATTTGTGTTGCAGACTGATGAAATGGACAGTGCTCAACTGAAGGAGAAGATTGAGGTTGCCATTGCAGAGCTTGATGTCCCAAAGAGCCCCATAAGTTATGTGACTTATCAACAAGAAGGATTTGATGAAGCCATCTTCCTTCAGTAACACCTACTTGCTTCTGCTCTACCATGCAGCAATCCACAAGGATAAGTACTTTGTCTAGCTAATAACACCTGGTTCTTTTTCCAGCCTTCCTCTCATGCTGGGACCAGATGGTTGTTTAGTATTAGAGGCAGGTATAGGGTGCTCAAGGTCACAGTAGTTAATTTCTATGATGTCAAGGGGTTAATTTCTATGATGTCAACTTTGGTGCTGAATCTAAGTAATGCAGTGATGATCCTTTGGCTAATATGCAGTACATGCAAGCTTTTCAGTTTGTGATCCTTTGGCTAATGAGAGCAACTCAATTTACCTCGAGCAAAAAGAAACAAGAATCAATTTAGCTCTTGATTGACATGTTAATTTAGCTAATAGCAAATTCTTTACCTCAGAGCTAACTCAAATCTATATCTTGTTTGATATGTTCAAACTTAAACCACATCTAAAGAGTTCAGCAGAGCATAATACAGATCAAATTCAATAATTGGTTAGAATCTGATTTTAATGCTTGGTTTTGCGATAGTATATCTCAATATTTTGATTTGGATAGAACTTGCTATGGTGGAGATCTCTATGTTGCTGTGTTTCTGAGTTCCACTTTATCTGCAACTTTTACTGAATTATCTGAAAGCGAAAGAGCATGGCAATGGCATACCATGACTTAAGTCTGCAACCCTAGCAATCATCTTCAACTAATTCTAGCAAAAACCTCAAAGGAAATCTTGGCAGAACTTTTCCTCAGGCCTAATCAATATTAACACTCCTAATTCTGACTTGTCATTGACCTAATCATCTTCGAATTCTTTTCCTGGATTCAGCAACAGATGAAGGGTTCATTGACCTAATCAGAATAGCTGATTGCTAACTCTTCAATGCCATTCAAATTTTTTTATTACTGATCAAAACATTGAACTTGCAGTTAAACTAAATAATTAGATCCTCTTGAATGATGTAATATACCAATTCTTGGCATTAGGTCAAGGACAAAAGGAGTTGATTTATTAGAGGAAAACTTTTATTATCGATCGTTCTTGCCAAATTACTTGTTCACAATAAGCTAGCATTATAGCTTGTTCAAGGCCAATAAATGAATGTGAAATGTAACACAAATCAGATTACTTTGGCGATCATAGGCAGACATGATTAAAATTAATTAGTGAAAAGGATTTTTATATCTTTTGGTTAATTGTACCAGTTAAGAAACTATAAGATTATAACTAAGTGAAAAGTGGGATTACGTATATGGTGTTGTTCCACAGCAAAAACAACTTCAGCTTTATTATTGTTACAGTGTCCGGTTAACACAAATGATGCACTGACTAAAATTTGGACCAGTTTGTAAAGATTGGACCAGCTTAGTGGAATTTGTTATACCAGCTTGAAAAGAATCAGGTTAAAAGGACCAACTTGAAAAGAAAATACTATACGATCACTTCAGATGAACCTCGAAGGTCTAAAACCCATAAATATTAATGGATCAACCATGATAGCCTCGCATGCTCCTGGTCCGAATCCCACAATTTTAGTGATCCTGAATCAAGGTCTAACAGGAGTGTTAACTAAACAAAACTCTCTACCTAGTCCCAACCCTAATATTTTCTGATGACGTATTTTTTAAGATTCAACCTTCATCTAACCATCTCCTCCTACAACCATGACTATTCCTATAAAGTCTTTTCATATTCTACTTCAGTAGATACAAATTCTAATGAAGATAATCCAAATCGTCGCTCTATTCCTCAACTTAATCAACTCATTAAACTCCACCTAAGTTTGTGCCCTCCCTACCCTTACTCCATCACATGTATCTATTCTAAGCCAAGTAGCTGAGTCATATCTAGTATCGGCCCAAGCACCCCCTAAGTCACCTCCATCGTCGATAACTCAAAATCCAATTCCATTGCTAGAATCAAAATTCATGATAAGTCGACTACTTGATTAAGATAATAGATCATCTACATAAAATGGACCAACAACCGGTAGACATTTATAGAGAAATAAAGCAAGGGAAGCAACCAAAAACAGATTTATATCCTTAATCTTCTTTCACTTAAGATGTAAATAAAAAATCAATTCCTTAGGGTTTTAGACTTTCTTTGCTAGATGTCTATCAAGAGAAGATCAACTTTTCAGAGAACATAGCTATATTCACTTCTAGATGACCCTCTATAGGACTATAGACTCCTCTATATGTTAGATTTTTTCAATAATTTTAAGAGAAGCGACATGCGACTAGCTTGTCAGACTACTCTCGGAGTCGATCTCATTCGTTAGATAACTAGCTAGGGAGTTCGAGCTTAATTTCATTAGCTATGGACTCTAAAAAAAGCTCACAACGTCTCTCCTAACTATGCATCGAGAAGAAAAAGAGTCATTAGAAAGTTATACAATGAGGTTCAAATATGAAGTTCGACAAGTTACAGATTCAACCCCCTCTATTCTCATTAATACATATATTGGTAGTCTCTAACCCTCATGATTTTTCTATAAAGTTATTATTCAATCTTTAATATTTTTTTCACAAAAAATCAACCACCATATTGTTGGTGAATCAGTAATTGCTGACAAAAAGAGAGACAAGACCATGAAAACAATAAAAGGGGGAAAACCTCATGTCCAAGTTCAATGAAAAAGCTGAGAAATGACAAACCAAGAGGAGAACCGCCCCATTCTCAACGACAGTTCACACTACTCAATATTTTCCATGCTTAAGTATTCATATAGATTTTGGATAATTGACTCTTGAGGATATCCCAACCTTTAAGGGCCCCATCGATAAAGAGGGATATTCCTAAATACTATTGCTTTCACTAAGACCAAGGACATGACATCGAAAATTGCTATGCCTTGAAGGAGTAAATCAAAGATTTGGTCTAAAGAGACACCTTAACAAGTTTCTCCATTCTCATCGAAACCTCGAGGCCCAATTAAGCGACAAATATATGCGATAGTTAATAGACTAGTGGTTAAGGGTAGCAATTCCCTTGCATGAAAAATGTATATATGTAAATCATATTTAAAAAGGTTTCAACTGAATGAAGATCAATACATTGTGTCGAGGGAAGAAGAGACTGAGCACCTAAATTTAGAGCATAATAATGCATTAGTAGTATCCCTCAGAATCACAAGCATATGAGTTAAAAGGATTTTAATTGATATAAGGAGCTTCACAGACATATTATACTATAATACCTTTTAGAAAATTAGCTTATTGGCCAAAGATCTTTAATCTATCTCTTCTACCCTTATCGACTTGATAGGAGAGTTGATCATCCAAGGACTATTGATATTTATGTAACCTTTGGAGTTGACAATTGCATAAAGATAATATAAACCAAATTTCTACTAGTCGATAATCCCTTGGCTTCTAACATTATTATTGGGCAACCTATTCTCAATCGAATATGAGCAATAGTGTCAACCTATTACATGACACTCAAGTTTCCAACCAGCTTAGAAGTAGGGGAGATCAAGAGTGACTCCTAAGAATCCAAATGATGACGCTACCTGACATCGATCACTCTTCCAAACAAAACTATGTTGTCGATCCAGCAAATGAATTTGTGAGATCCCTCACTATTAACCCTATATCCTGTGACAGGTGTGCCTTTGGAAGAAGTTCCTATACACATAAAATGACTAAACCATATAGTTAAAATGGGGTTGGTCTTAACCCAAGAAAGAAATAGGAAACTTATTAATTTCCTACAATTGAATTCAGAAGTATTCACATGGTCAACTAGTGATATGCCTAGAATTGACCCTAGTGTGACCTAACATTAACTTTATCTATATTACTTTCTCTTGTATTGATCGAATCAGATACAAATAGCTCTGGCTACCCCAATTCCGATCATCTTTAATCTGCCGATTCATTAACCACAAGGCAGAGTTAGGCATGTGTTCATTAAAGTCATAAATATTAGTTACATCATGATATAATTGATTTACATCACTCCTTATTTTCCTCACTCTTGATAATAGCACATCTCGCCAAGCCATAAACTTCAAAGGTTTAATCCTTGCTTCAAAGGTTTAATCCTGACCATTAATCCTAACCACAAGCTAGTTTCATCCACGAGGTCCACTACCCAAATAGCTTGCTAATGTGATCCTAAATTCAAAGAGTAATACAAAATGGAGGATGTGTTTTGATTACATACATCATCAGTGGTGCAGGAACATGAGCTATTATCTTTCATGGATGTTTTTTCTTTCCTAAATTAATCAGTTGGTCAACTCTCATCTATGAACATGAGCTATTAGCTTTCGTGGATGTTTTCTCTCGATATAACTAAATAAAGATGACACTAGAGAATAAGGGACATATAACTTTTATCATTGAGAAAGGTTTGTACTACTATATGGTCATACCATTTGGACTCAAGAGTCCATGAGTAACATATCAAAAGATGGTTAGTAGAATGTTTCAGCATCAAGTTGGGAAGAATATAGAAGTCTATGTGGATGGCGTATTAGTGAAGAGACGTAATATCGACATACACTTTAAAAAAGCCAACCTTGGGGAAACATTTGTTATTATAAAAAAATTGAATATAGTTAAATATGACTAAGTGTGCATTGGGCATAAGTTTGGGAAAGTTCCTAGGTTTTATGATACATCCATATAGAATAGATATAGAGCCAGATAAGGTAAAGACTATTATCAACATGAAGCCCCCATGCTTCATTAAGGAGGTTAAGTAGTTGATAGGTTGAATCCCTGTGCTTAGTTGATTTTTATCTCGGACAAGAGATCAGTGTTTTCCATTCTTTAAAATCCTAAAACTTGAAGGATTTTCAATGAACCAAGTCGTGTCAATAAACATTTGATATACTTAAAAGATATTTTGTGACTCATCCCCGACTTTTTAACCCCTACTTGGGAGAAGATTTATACTTATATTTGTCTATAATTTCAGTGGCCATAAGCTCAATATTGATTTTGGAAGAGCAGCGAATCCAAAGGCATGTATATTACATTAATCATATACTCCAAGATGTGAAAACTCCATATCTCAATTTTGTAATGCTGACCTATGGGTTAATCCTAACAATCAAGAGACTTCATTTGTACTTTTAGGCTTATCATATCATTGTCATGACAAATCAATTGATGTACTAGAGTCCTTTTTAGTCTGATACCAAAAAAGGCTCCTTAAATGAGTAATTAAACTATGTTAATTTGATATTTCTTATAATTCGAAAACCACTATTAAGGCATAGGCTCTCGTTGACTTTGTGGCAGGGATGACATTC